ATCTGCATGATATTGTACAACATCCTGAGCAATTTCTGGTTTTAATATAATTCCAGCTAAAAATGCGTCACACGTAATATAAGTAGGGAAATGTTTCTTCCTTATACTATTGCAAGCACTTTCAATATCATTCATAAGTTTCATGCAGGGTGTATCTATTTGACCTAGTACATTCCATCTCCAATCCTACAAAGTTAAATTTGTATTATAAATATTGTTATATCTTTTGGGCATATCATTGATATACATACATGTGTAACACGAGACATGCAACATGTTTCCCATGGTAACAGCCATAAAGGTTTCTTATTTTTATTAAAAACTATATGAACACTCTCTGGATCCATATAAAAGTTGAATTCTGCTTGTGGTGTTATATTACCCTGTGCTAATAATAAATATCTTCTATGATTATTTCTTAATAATCTATAAGCAAGATGATAATAAGATGTACCTTTCACATTTCCACCCATTATATAGAAATCTTTTACATTGTTTACAAAATCTGGATACATTTTTATAGCTGTTGCTATATTTGTCAGAGGACCTAAGCACACAACACTAATTTGATTTGGATTCTCTGATACAATTCTATGTATAGCACATACTGCATGTTCTGTTCCTAATATATTTGTATCTACTTCCGTTTTATATGCATTCCCAAAACCATCGCTACCATGGTATTGTTCTTTTTTAGCTTCATCAGTATGATGTGTACAAAGTATAGGTTCATGAGCTCCTTGAAAAACTGGTATCTACAAATTAATAAATATGAAAACTTTAGTACATTTTTAAACATAATTATATATTTCTTTTAAGGAATCTACACTTACATTTGTTACCTCACAAACATTTAATGTTCTAAACACATTTTTAACTACATTTTCTACTATAGTGTTGCCATTAACACAAGTGATTGCTTTAATTTCAATTTCTTTCTTCTTATGAGCGGCTAATAATATTATTAACGCTAATGCATCATCCACACCAGCATCACAGTCAATAATCAAAAGTTTTCCAGTCATTTTAATCTAAAGTGTTCCCATATAATGTGAACAAGTAAAATTAATTACTTAAATATTTTAGATACAAGTAACAACTAACTGGTTGCGACTGATGTAAATTCTAAACTGCTTTTGCTACAAGGCTTTAAAGATAAGTAAAGTGTTCATCCACATCTAAGGCTGTGCACATATAATTAGATAACAAATCTTATCTCAGGGTATCATTACTGCTATATGTCTTATAAACAATCATAAAAAAATCATAAGTTTGCACAGTCAAAGTTTGTTTCGACCAAATACATGTACATAAAAGGCTTGGTAGTGTACTTTAGAGAGGCTTGAGGCTCGACCTTTTGGGGGCACTGTTTTGACTGCCATCTGAACCAGCTGCAAACTTGGATGAATTAAAATTTAATATGGCGTTTTAGAAGCGGTAATTCAAATTTTGGATTCTAGAGTCAGAATGTGTTAAGTATATTTATTTCGAAAATAGTTATGTACACCATCACACAAATTAAAAGAATCAACGTAATGATTTATATAACTTAATTTCGAAAAAATGTACTTAATATACTATAACACAGGGGAAAGAAAAATAATCAATGTCTAGTATATCTCTTGGCTGTAGTTCGCTGGTTTCTTTGCGGTCCACCACAGTCCATCAAATGCGCATGTGATGAGCAGTCATATTGAATTTTAGTTCCTCCAAGTTTGCAACTAGCTCAGCTGGCAGTCAAAAAAGTGCCTCCAATTTTCCCTATAGAGTTGACGTCCTCTGGTAAACTTTACGAAGAAATTTATCATACAGCATATTTTATGCATTATTTCAGAATTTTCATATTTTTAAGTCTCCAGCCTCTCATAAAAGTTACTAGGCGTCTCAAAAAGTTTTCTTGATATTTCTCGAATAAAGGATAAGTAAGCAATTAAAATTAATTGGTGCATAATTACGAGCAATGAAAAAACAATTTTCTGAGCTATGTTTCTTTCATATTGGTTAATATAGTGATCCAGCTTCACACGGGTTAATCCTACTGTAAAATGTGAATGAATATCGGTACAGATTTGTTTTGTGCACTATTGTTTTAAAAAATGTTCAAAATTAAGTCCACATAACACGATGATCGATAACGAATATGAGTAGATAGCATCCAATAACATCTAAGATTTGGTGAGCGTAATGAGCGGAACTGGGCTTCGACTGCTGGTTGGCTCGACCGCCTTGCGCCAACCGAGCTCATCTTTCATTGGTTAGTGTTTTTCGTTAATAATTTGTAAACAAAATCGTGGATTTCATTTGCATTAAGGAAAAAGTTACTTCAAATGACCTCAGGAATCCTTCATTTTCCGAAAGTAACATAATTTTGGAGAGAACACCTTGTATATAATACAATGATACATTAATATGTACCTCAAGTTTTGCAAGACTCAACTGCTGCAGCATACACCGTTAGCGAGAATAGGAGTAGAAATTGTTTTGCTCTGAGTGGCTGGCGATTCAATGCTAAGGCAGAATTTTAAAGAGGAAGAAATAATCGTGCAGGAGTTGAGGTATCATTATATAGATATGAAACTTACATATTTCATTTCTAAAAAAGTAATAACATTAAAAAAAATTATAAAGCAATAATTTTATGGATTTAAAATTTTTTTTTGTAAAAGATATGTACATGAATATATAAAAACTCAGAATATAGATGTTTAGTCCAAATTCTGTATACGTACATATTATTATACAAATAGTTCATTTAAATTCTAACGATAAAAATTGTTTTTTTTTACTTTAATCTAAATATATATCAGATCAAATTTATACAATTAATGTAATAATAATAACAATTTCATGCATACTTGCAACGCTAGTAATTTGCTTATATCTAGTGTTTAAAAGTGTATAATGGAAAAGTAATATTTTTATTGTAAAATTTGCAAAAAGCTATATGATAATAATTTTAATTGGTAAATTAACAGTTTATAAATAAAATTAAATCAGTATATAAGTACAAGTATGATCGATAAAAAGTGA